GTGCGGCCAAAGCATCCCAGAGGGCAGCAGATGTGGTGAAGCCGCGAGCATGTTTGTGAACGGAGGGGCTGATGACCGCTAGGAGGCAGGCGCGGATCTGTGTGTCAACGATGGTCCAGGAGGTATACTCTGGATTAGGGACAGTTTTATCGTTTTTGGAGATAGTTGGCGCTGGGGCTGCTTCATGACCATCAATCCATCCAAGGAGGAGATTAGCTGAAAGAGCTGTCTGGACATTGAGAGACCATGCCGGATAATTTGTTTCGGTGAGTTTTTCTGGGATTAAGTTGTGGAGACTCCGAAGCAAAAGTTTTACTCCGGAGGGTAAGGACGCCAAAGGATCCGACGGGGCTGCCATGGTGGGCGGCGGTCGGAAAAAAAGAGAGGCTAGGGAATACAAGAGTAATCAAAGTACTTACCAAAGGATCGATGTGATTAGGTTTTGTTTTTTTCTTTTTATTTGTATTACTAAAGAATCAATTTTTTTAACAATTGTATTATTTCTGTCCCTTGATTCCTTTGATTGAATATGCATCACCATCAATTATTTAAAATAAATAAATAAATAAATAAATAAAGGGTAGGATATGGACAGAGATGTTTGGGATAGCATGAGAATCATTTGTGTTCGTTTATTTCTTTTTAACATGGAATCTTATCATTTTGCTATACAATTACGCACTACCTTTTATTTTTACTTTTTACCGAAGAAAAATGAATAAATAAATTACATTACCCTAATGAAAATTAATTTATTTTGTAGTATTTCATATGGCCAACATCACCAAAAGAGAATTTGACATTCTTGATTTATCCGGTCAAAGGTACCTGGAATGGAGGATTGATGCATTTGCTCACCTTAAGGCTAATGGTCTCGAAAATACAATTGCTGAGAATAATACATCATCATCTCAGCAAAAGGCAAAAGCCATTATTTTCCTTCGCCACCACCTTCATGAAAGTTTAAAATTGGAATATTTATTCGTGGAAGATCCAAAAGAATTATGGGATAATCTCCAAGAGAGATGGACATCAACAAAAAGTCCTATTGTCAAGAGCTCAATACGAATGGATCAATTTAAGATTCCAAGATTTTAAGTCCGTTTGTGACTATAATTCTGCTATTTTCAAAGTCACGTCCACATTAAAATTATGTGGACATAATATCACTGATCATGACATGTTGGAAAAAACTTTTTCCACTATGCATATGTCAAATGTGCTATTACATCAACAATACAGAGAAAGGGGCTTTAAAAAGTATTCTGAGTTAATCTCAGTATTACTTGTTGCTGAGCAGAATAATGAGCTGTTGATGAAAAATCACAACATGAGGCCCACCGGTTGTACCCCTACAAATTTTGGCAATCCGGATCGTGGTTCAGCATCGGAATCAAACGTTATCTAAGGAGGTGCACGCGGACACTTTAAACGTGGACGTGGAAATAACCGCAACAAAAGGCCAAATAAGGGATATAAACATCCAACTGAATCATCCTCCAAGGGAAAAGGAAAATTCAAACCACCACATGCTAAAACTCATGAAAAGCCAAAACCAAGTGGTGAATGTTATAAATGTGGCATAAAAGGACATTAGAGTTGAATCTCCTGCATTTTTAGAAAGAATTCAAGGAGATATTTGTGGGCCAATTGCCCCAGCATGTGGACCATTTCGTTATTTTATGGTGTTGATCGACGCATCAACACGTTGGTCACATGTTAGTCTTTTATCTACAAGAAATTTTGCATTTGCAAAACTCCTTGCTCAAATCATACGTTTGAGAGCTCAATTTCCGGATTATTCAATTAAGAAAATCCGACTTGATAATGCAGGAGAATTTACATCCCAATCATTTAATGACTATTGCATGTCTATTGGGATTGATGTGGAGCATCCAGTTGCTCATGTGCACACTCAAAATGGTCTTGCTGAGTCTTTAATAAAGCGATTACAATTAATTGCTAGACCATTATTGATGAAATCCAGTTTACCTGCATCTGTTTGGGGACATGCTGTATTGCATGCTGCAAATTTAATT